TCTCTCTCTCTCTCTCTCTCTCTCTCTCTCTCTCTCTGACTCTCTCTCTCTCTCCCCTCTCTCTCTCTTTCTCATCTTAGTCCATAGAGCACGTAGTGAAAGTGTGGACATGGGTGAGTAAGGAGTGAGAGAGTGTACAGGAGTTGGAATGAACGAACCAAGATGGACAGAAACACATCAGCGTCTGTGGTGTTGTGGTTTTGTGCAGCGCCGCTGCATGCAGAAGACTCGAGTTTCACTTCCAAGTGGTGAGACTTCTTATCGAGTATCTCGATCGATCTTTCTGATGGGACTATGTTTCCCTTTCCACCCGGGTTGACCCTGACCTGAAGGGTCGAAGCTTGCGACCCTAAATGATATGAATCGTGTCAATGGGGACGAAAAAACCCACCTACATTTATTTTTAAAAAAATATTTGACAGAAACATTGAACGTAGCTAGATCTACTTTTTCCGTCAGTGTAAACGAATTGTTGTCTATCATCGGAATAACACAGAGAATTGTGTAACCTGAAACGAGAGGTTCGTTTATACCGCTCTAAGTGATTAAGGTATTGAACCTTTGGAAATCGATAGTTTCTGAATGCATGAAGGCGACAAACGAGTTTTTGTTGGGTGCTGTGGTGTCCCTTCTTCTGACTGCTCCAAGTTCATGAATAATTAATCAGCTTTAACTACAGCCGGGACAAGTTTAGATCCGTTGTCGGTTTGAGTGGTAATAGTTTTTCTTTGGGATTTTCCGAGTATTGTTTTGCTGTTGCTTTTTTTGTTGTTTTTTTGCTTTATCGTTTTCAGCTTTTCTTTAACGTTAGAGTTAAACAGTCATGTTTTCATTTCTCCATCCTTTAATTTTCTTTCTGTGTTTTTTTTTTCCCACCGAGTACATTTATTGTTTGGCTGTAACCGCAACTTTTCTAAATTGTTTTATGCTTTTCATCACGTTAGTGTTAAAGAATTCTGTTTCCGTTTCACCATTCTTTTCAAATTCTTAACTGAAGTTAACTTACTTTCATTTCTTTCCTTTTTTGTGTGTCCGATACTGCGTCTTGCTGTTGTGGCTCATAGATTGCGCCCCATTCCGTTTTCTGATTGGCTTTATCTTTAGAGAGCCATGTTTCTGTTTTCCGTTTTGTTTCATTAACCCTCGTCCATTTCTTCTTTCTAATTTCTAATCTAGAATTGTCCATCTGACATTCTTTAAACTAGTTACAACCGTCCACTGTGTGCATGACGTCACAGTTACTCATGTGTAATCCCACAGAGAGTGAAGACCTCGAATGAGCAATTTGGAAGGTTAAGTAAGCTCCGAACCGAAGACCCATGTAGACTTTTATATGTTCCAGTTTAAAAGGGTAAGAAGTTGAGCGTTTTACCCCAACCCACCACCCACCCACCTACGTCTAGCTCTACATACGTTACTGCAATAACCTTAAAAGCTAACCGTTTGCACATTTTAGACGTAATAACGAACGATACTCACGTTATAAATTCCATAGTATTGTCAAACAGTATTATAAACATTACACAGATAAAAAATTGCGCGTAGCACTTTAGAATAATGCAAGGAAAATAAAAAATATTATGGAATAATGAATAGATATTATTCACAGTGCATGGGTTTCTCTTTATTTTAAAAAAAATCGAGAAGACTGCGATCAATCATTCTCCAACGCAGCATTTCAAATTCCTGCCCTTATTTGCATAAGCGGATGGTTGGAAGGCGCCACTGGTAGTTGTAGATCATTTTCCTTTCCCTCTGACTAGCTATGAGCCTCACTTTTTTTTTTGCACGAGATTGCTGTGCGTCGGTATGCTTTTCGTTACTTGAACTCTTTTTCTTTGCTTAATCCTATCAAAATGGCGTTTCTGATCAGTATAACATTGTGCACATGATGTGCTAGTTATAGTAAATATAAGGTTATAATAAGGTAAGTTTTGTAAAGGGTAGATAGTGCATTGTTACTTTTTAAGGTTACTGTACACTTTCTCCAAGAAGACTCTTTTCTCAAATTCAAACTAGCAGGACTAAATTATTTCTATTTCATTTTTCAGACAGCGTCACAGAAAACTCAGTCCGCATCTCGATGACCACAGACCAATCCAACAAGTATTCCTCAAAGCTGAGACACTGGACAACCATAGACTGCGGAGAAGACTAGCTTTGTGCGAGAAATAAAAATCAAAGAATGTCACTTTCAAGCAGGTCGTTGTAAGACTTGGAAAAACTTTAAAAGACTTTATAAACAAAATCACAGACACTTGATAACACATATAAAAGTAATATATAGGGAATTTTATTTGACATACAGCAGAAAAAGCGGCTAAAAGGCACTGAAAACGTAGATAGCTGGTACCGATATATAAAAAGCTAATAATGGTTCTGTTCAGTGTTGTCATATAAGAAAGAAAGGGCTTGAACAAGATTCCCGATCCTTAAAGTGAAGAAAACTTTTCGTCCTAGAAGGAAATGTTCTTGGTGTATAGGAAAAAGATGCCTATAC